CTGCTCTGTGTTCCTGCTTAATGGAGATAAAACTGGTTTACGAGGAGCAGGAGGAGACGTGATGGATGCCAGACCATTTACTTCCAATATTATTGTAAAATATTTCTCAGTATTTGGATTCATGGCGGACTGTTTGATGCTGCTGCTGTGTAAGCGGTTTAATAGCATCAGTATTTACACAGAATTGGAAAGGCTTCTAGGAACTTCATATATATTTATTTAATTTCCAAAAGAATTCAAGGAAAACATTACACGTAACAGACCTCAGCACTTTGCTGCACATGAAAGAATGATGAACAGTGCAGTCTAGATTTCCTGGGAAGCTTCATTCATATGCTTTACAAAACACTCAGGATAAAAAAAACAGTTACAAATAGAATTACTAGGAACTAATAAATCACAGCAGCACATGAAATACCAATCAATCATTTGGAGGGGAGGGTAGTAGTCAAAGAGCTTTGCAGTAGTCTGAACACAAGGACACAAAGGCGTGACTGAGCCGTACTGGGTCAGGAAAGACGGGGTTGATGTTTCTTTGGTGGTGAACAGGATTCAGTATGATTATTGATCTGAGGAGTGAAGTTAAGTTGTGAATCAAATGTAATACCTTTCTTTTTTTTTAAAGATGTATTTTTGGGCTTTTTGTGCCTTTAATTGAGAGATAGGACAGTGGACAGAGTTGGAAATCAGGGAGAGAGAGAGTGGGGAATGACATGCAGGAAAGGAGCCACAGGCTGGATTCGAACCTGGGCCACCCGCCTTGAGGACCACAGCCTCCATACATGGGGCGCACTAACCACTGCGCACCAGCGCCCCGTAATACCTTTTTTTGTACCTGTGGGTTTCATACCTAGTGGACTAAAGAAGGCCTTTAATTGGCTTGCTATGACCTCTGACCTCCCTGTATTCAACTGCAGAACATAAATGTGGCTATTCACTCCTTTAAACTGTTCAAGCGGCTGATGTTATCTGACCTAAAGGGCAGGTATATCCCTGTATCATCAGTGATTGTTAGGTTAACTTTTGGGCCTTTTTGTCATGATTAGTTGGACAGCTGGAGAGAGACAGGAAATGGCGGGAGGTTAGAGGGGGCGGGGAAGTTTGGAAACTGGGCCTGTCTTCTGTGGAAGTAATGTACAGAAAATTGTTATCTAAATGTATTTCGAAGGAAAGCCAGTGATGCAACTGACTAAGAAGAAACCTTATTTTTAGACTCTGTTGTTGTGGTTAAGATGTAATAGAGGGTAATTTCATGTATCACTTTCTCTTGTGTCACTTAAATCACTTCTATTCCATTTAAAGATATTTTGGGGCTTTTAAGCCTTTATTTGATAGGACAGCGGAGAGAGCGGGGAATGACATACGGGGAAGGATCAGCACTTTCCTGCGCCGTTCACTTTACTTTTTTCGAGTTGGTTTAAATTATCACTTTTTAGCTCGGCAAGTTTGAAAACGAAAAGCCTAAGACCTTTTCGTTTTCATTTGAATTACGTCATACAGTATGCATACATAGAGAGTAAAAGTATAATGCAAATTGGATGACTGAATATTAATTTTAAATATAGGTCAAATAAAGCACCTATATTCTGAAAATTGAAACGTGTTTCTGTTACAGTATTTTCATTTTGAAATTAGCTTTTTCATTTGAATTATGATACAAATTTAGCGGGGCATTTTTTGAAAATGAAAATGCAAATGTAATTTTCTTCATTTTAATTTAGTCAAAGAGTGTGCATTTTTGAAGTTGGAAACTAAAATTCAAATTAGATAAATGAGTCATCAATTTATTTTTGAGTGTAATAATTCACCCATATTCTGAAAATTAAAAAGCATTTCTGTTAATGGATTTTAATTTTCAAATTAGCTTTATCATTTGAATTCTGATCACTAATCACTTCCATACATCGGCGCCCCTTGCAGTCACTTTTTATTGAACTTGTGAGAGTACATTACCCACTAAGAACCGTGATCTTTGCTCTTGCTGCTGAGTGAACTGTACAAACTGTCTTCAACTTATTGGACCTTAATTATTCATTGTGTGGCATTCGCTCAGTCCCTTTTTTATATCTACATGCTGATTCCTGTTTGGTGCATAGCTCTTAATTTAACATCAATCTTCCTTCTCACCTTCCTCTGTGGTCATTAGCTTTGGGTAGTGGGTAGAAAGAATGACATGGCAGATACAAGTGGCTGAAATGAGGGAATAATTAGTGACAGGTATCCAAAGCACAAGAAGTTTACTGATACTGAAAAGCCGATCTACCACGGTGTAGGCGGAAATAATCTGGCAGCTTGGGAGAGTTAAACCAGGGTATAAATGCCGCAGCCGGTGATTACAGATGATGAACAAGTGAGTGATTGCAGAGCGCTCCAGCAGCCAATAAGCCTCACCCAGAGCTCTCTGGAAGGATTATATATCCCGCCTGGCCTGGGAATACCTTGGAGTTCCTCAGGAGGAGCTGGAAAACGTTTCTGGGAACGTCTGAATCAAAGTTTAAAACACTGTTATTATGGTATTATAAGAGTGTTTGTTTTGTGTTTGCGTGTTGATCCTGAAAATTCTTTCCTCAGGACTCAAGTTTTAATGTCATCTTTTAGAACCAGCCATCTTTCCAGCTCTTCTGATGCAGTTTGCTGTGTCTCACAGTTTGTGCTGCCAGCTGTGGTCTGGAAACATTTTCACTTGGATGTATTCCCTTTTATCTACCATCACAACTCATCAATCTAAATTTAAAGCATGATACAATGAGGATTTTGTTACTCAGTATGTGAACTGTTGGAAAATGTGCTTCAGTGCTTTCTGGCAGAGACCGACATCAGTAGAATAATACCAGCTTTACCGACTCCAATAAAGTTGTTCTGTAAACCAAAGTTGCAACTGAGCCGTTGTGAAGTTGTGTCAGGAAACTCTGCTCTGCTTCCAGAGGATGAGCAATGAAAGAACAGCAGAATTCCTGTATAAACTTACCTCACATTAACATACAACATATCTTCATATAAACAGGGTGTTGTACTGAACCTGCCTGTGAGTGCTGAATTGGCTTTGACTATAACATACTTATGTTATTATTATTTATTAAAACCATAAGAGACTTGACGTGGACTTGGATCCTAAAGACTTGAGACTTGACTTGGACTGGAGTCCTTAAGATTTGAGGTGGACTTGTGTCCTAAAGACTTGAGACTTGACATGGACTTGAGGCTTGACTTGGACTTGAGACTTGACATGGACTTGAGACTTAATTTGGACTTGAGTCTTAAAGATTTGAGACTTGAAGTGGACTTGTGCCCCAAAGACTTGAGACTTGAGTCCTAAAGACTTGAGACTTGACCTGGACTTGAGTCCTAAAGACTTGGACTTGACTTGGACTTGCATGAAGTGACTCGGGTCCGTCTCTGTGATCTCATGATCTGCGACTCCCCAGCTATTTCCTGTCTGCAGGTATCTGATGGCTGATGGTTACCCCGGGGGAAGAGAGAGCTACAAATTAATAGAGAGTAAAGGTTAAACCCTCACAGGGAACATGACGCATAAAGGTTTTCCCATGAATGACGAACATGGGAAACACTCCTGAAGGCAATAATGTGTTTGCACATGATGTTCCTTTTCCTTCCCGAGGTCTTTCCTTGTTCATACTGTAAGTTGTTTCCTGTGCCAAAAGACTCGCTTGAAGGTGACACACCTTTAGTGTGAGGAATTCTGGTATTCCCAAACCTTTTTTTCTTTTTAATTATGTGTTGGATAAATTTGTTGTATTGTTACGAGAAACGACTGCCACATGGCTCTCTTTAAAACCACTAAACTACAGAAAGAAGCCTGTCAGAGGTTGTCTTCACTGGTCTTGATTTAAAATCTGGAGTCTGCCCAGTCTGAGACCGAGACCAGACAGGGTAAAAGTAGTGATTTAATATTAAGTCGGGGAAGGGGTTTCCTTATCCCAGTGCATGGACTCACAGGTACACAAAGAGCCAACACAGAGAGACAATGCATGGAAGCTCGTTGTGGACGCCATGCCCAACAGGTCAGTACTATATTGAGAATGTGTTGTATCCTTATCACTAACTGAACACATGATGGTTTGGTGATATGATGCATATAGTATGTGAAACTGTAACTGCACGGCTTCGTCCTGTGGCTATACTAACGTAACGATACAAATCCAAAAGTTTCCACTGTTTAAACACTAGATTCTGAAGTTAACAGGACACCAGTGCAAAGACGTGAGGACGGGTGTGGCGAGATCTTTCAGGAGAACAGCTTGGCAGTGGCGTTTCTGACCACTTGTAGGCGGTTGGAGGATGTGATCTGAAGCTCAGAGATCTGGATCCAGCTGGTCTGGGCTCAGCTTTGTTTCTTGGATGGTGAAAAAAAGAGCGGATCAAACACAACATGAGAGTTTTTGCTCAGTTTATTCCATTACATTCCAGTAATTACTGTCTTTCTCTGTGAGTAGGGTGTGGAGTGCTGATGATGTGTAGAGCAAGGGATAGTTTTGAGGTTAGTTTTCATTGAGAAGGGCCAATCTTGCCCTTAATGTCTGCATGCATGATGGCTTAATTAAAATGGTGTCAAAAGCACCGGAGCCCAGTGTTTACTGTTCACAGTTACAGTAGTATTTAACCCTTTGTGTGCTTTGTGAATTCAGTGGTTTGTTTTTGTCTGGTCTGCAGAGGTGCAACAGGTGCAAAAGCCGCAAAATCATTTTGTGAGTCACGCCCAATATTTATTTTGTTGAACTGTGCAACTTCTCTGTATTCCTATGTATGCAGCCCACGGAATCACATTTAATCCCCATCCCCATTTACTTTGCTTCATCTGTGCTCCTGAAAAAACTTACTGTGTTCTGCAGAAAAAGGTACTGGTTGCATAATATTTAATGTCAACAGCGTGTAAGCTGAATGGCATTGTGCAAGCTTGCAGATAAACAGACCCAATGAATACATGTTTTTTTCTGACTGACTCATTCCCCCCCCCCCCCCCCCCCCCCCAATTCCTGCAGAGTGCCGAGGACGAGTCGCAGTGGGTGGAGGACCTGCTGAAGCTCCACACCGCCCGGGTCCGAGACGTGGAGATCCTGACCGGCCTGGACCTCTATCGCTCCACAAACCTCACCTACATCAGCACCCTGAGCCTGAAAACCCGGCTGCACACCTTCGAGAGTGACGACTAATCACACAGACAGATAAACACACACAAATATACAGGATGTAGCTCTTTTTGTAGAAGTTTTGCATTTTCACTGCATGCTCACTGGGCAGCCGGCACACGAAGAACGGAAACCGTGGAGTTGAAAAGGGAACACACATTTTTGAAAAATTGAAAAGATTTAAATGATGGTTTGGCAAGTTGTAGTTTGGGAGATTAAAACAGGAAAACTATGCAACAAATAATAGAGAAATAAGCTAGCACAGGAACGATGCAGGACTGGACTTTATCAACACTGCAACATAACAGTATATCCTCATGCACATAACACCATATACTTGTTTGACCTCTTTGACGGTGTAGACTCTGTTTTCATTATTAACACATTCCTCTGATGTCATGATCATTGTGGGAAGCTCAAATACTGTGAAAATGTAATTTTACTGATTACTTCCTCTGATTCCTGACACCAGTACACGCTTTCTACCACTCACTGGCTGTAACTGCAGTGACTCCTGCATACTGTTAAGTCATGTGCACACCAACTATACATTATATCTCTGGTATCTTAACAATCAGGAAGCAGAAAAGCCGTTTAAATGATTGAGATTCGTCCTTTGAATAGGATTTGAAACCTGAATTATAGATTGTTGACATTGTTACAGCATTTGATCCTCCCACACTTAGCTTGATTTTAGAGGAGAGCGGTCTACGTTGGCTGCTACATTAATCTGATGCTTTATGAAATGGAGTTTAACCCAATGTCTGCCTGAACACATGGAAAAAACAAGAATCAAGAATGTGAAAGACAGCAGTCCAACGTAACCTCTTTGCAGCTTTGGGCTAAAATGTGCAAATTTGCTGGTTTGGTTCTGTGATGATTACTTTGAGCTTTTTGAGGAAATACACTTATTCTTTGTCTTGCAGATATTTAGATGAGAAGATTGATGCTATAACGTCAACTAGCAGTTAGCTAAGCTTAACTTAAAGGGGGGAAACAGTGAGTCTAACTATGTTGAAAGGTAAAAATGTGCCAACAGGAACCTTTTAATGTCTCTTATTAAAATGTCATATCTCTCCAAGTTACAGTATTATCCAGAGTGTGAATCTCTTCATTGAAAACTACATGAATGATACACAAATACATCAAGCAGACAGACCCACAAACAAAGAAATGCAAACTAGGAGCCATAAATATTGTAACAAAAGCCTGTTCAGGAATCCTGAAGAAATGTTTTCCATGCAAGAGAAGGACTTCTTTCGGTAACCAACATGTGTTTTAATAACAGAAATATTGACTAATGATGTGGTGACTGTTCGGCCTGAAATGGGCCAGAATGTTTGGACAGCTGGACAGAGGAAAGTACAGAACAACATTAATCCTCACTGCGCTAATAACATGTAAATCAAGCTGTATGGTTTAGGTTAAATCAACTAAGGGGGACAGAGAACAGCTCATTCCTTTTTTTTCAGCTGCTGGACAAATTGTTCATTTCTGCTTTGGAAAAACAAACCGTTAAAAGACCAACGATAAGGAACATGGGTTAGGTTATAAGTTCATTTCCCAAAACTGTTGGGAACACACTCTTTTCCTTCCCTCTGTCACTGCTGATCATCTTGGTGTATATTTTTATAGAAGTTTTCATATTTATTACATAGCATCATATTAATAACAGCACCTAGTGTCACAGTATTAATCTAGTGTCCCCTCCTGGAAGTAGATCAGTGATGCAGTGATCGTTCTTCAGGAGGTGACGAAACTGATGCTGCCTTAAAGGAAATGATTAAAAACCGGGTTCCTCTTTTTAAACTTCTAACTCAACAGAAGTGTTAAGTGATGTAGTCGTCTTTTGAATCCATCGCCTGTACACATAAAGGACGTATCACCTGTGATATCACTCATTAGTTTCTCGTCTGCCTAAATAAAGCCTTGATTTCTGCAGTGGCCGGCACCATTTTTCTTGGTTCTCCTGAGCCAGAAGTGACCATATTTGGAGTAGAGGGTGGAGAGGAGCGAAAGGTAAGCAAACGGCAAGATATCAAAACAAAACAGTCTCCTGTCTGATTCATGGACTGGGGAATAAACTGGTTTAGCTTTGTGTTTCCCACAGAGTGAGAACATCTGTTCATCTATCGGAATAAAGTCTTTCAAAACGGTGCGTTTAGTTACCTTAAACGCAGTTTGCATGTACGACAGGCCAAAAACGCTACATTTTGAAAAATGCCTGACTACATGTGGACGAGGCCTCAATATCATCGTCTTCTCTTCATTTTGTTACCAAAGTCACCTCTTGTCATTATCAACCTTCCTGCATTCCCTCGTTTTATCAGAATGCAGACAAAGCATTCAGAACCTGTTTGTTTGTGTGTTTACTTTTATAACATAGCTAGCGATCAAGATAATCAGTAAAACAAGATCTGAGAGCTTGCCAAACTGTACGCTATGTATTTTTTCCTCCTGTAGTCCAATAAAAAGTGTAGCGAAATGGAAAACTTGAAAGACTGGTTCTGATTTCTGAGTATTTACTGCTCCTCTGAGTGTCTTCTTTCAGTAACCTCTGCAATTTGTTTTGTGGTTGCTCAACCTCCATTCAGTGTTGAAAACAAACACAGCAACATGTAAATGGTTTGTGAAGGTGCATTATTACTCCATCAGTATCTAATGTGATGCTTCAGCTCATAAAACACACATTTGGCTCTCAGCCTCTGCAAATATTGGACGGCAGCCCAGTGATGAGGTGTCAACGTGTTATTAGTGGTATACTTTGATTCCATGTCCTTAACCCTTGAATATATTCAGATTCAGATTTGGACCTGCATATCTGATGCAACTGCTTTTGTTGTCTACTCAGCCACTCCTGGACCAGTCGGTGGCACACTGCCTTGCTCAAGGGAACAGTAATGTCCAGTTCATTTTTCCAGATAATCCAGGGATCAAACTGGCGACCTCACAAGCCTGTAGAGCCAACATGAAGTTACTCCCCTGTGAAGGCATTGAGACACCTGTTGGACTGGGAGGATTTTGTTAGGAACTACTGGCGTATTAAAGATAAAATGCAAAACTTGAAATGCACAGACAAGGTAACTTAATTATACTAATTTCAGTTTATCCCCTTAAAGGAGCTATATATAACTTTCAAAAATACTGTGTTTGTAGCGATACTGCAGGCTGTTAGGCAAACTGCACCAGTAACCTGTTGCTCGCTCTCCCTCGCATGCTCGTCATACGTGCTTGTACGTACACAAATGAGCATCATCATCAGCCGCGAAACACTGGATATTTACTGGCATAATGTTTACAGAGAAGGTAAGTGGTCATACACGTGAAAGCCTGTGAAGGAGTCTGTGTTGTGCTGGAGGCTGGTCGTTTATTTGTACAAACAGATTCCATATTAGATTCATTCTCGATCCTACAAACGACAGTCTTGGCAGGCACTGGCAGAGAGCGGAAGTGTGTGATGAGTTTGTCTGCCTTTGAGAGCTCTTAGAAGTGTGAAGAAGTGTGTGGAAAGCGGCCTCTGGCTATATCGGGAGTGTGTGATGAGTTTGTACTGTTGATCTCTGTAAGTGGAGTGGAGTGAGGGGGACATTGAGAATGTGCATAAAATGTCACTTCCTGGAGCCTTCGTGGAAAATACGACCCGGGGAAAGATTTTACAAGCAACACAGATAGACAGTGAACATCTACTTTTTCACATCAGTTAACCGTTCGCTTTTTAATGGACGATAAAAACGATTTATACATGTAAAAAGTTACATTTCTTCGCATGTTCAACGGAGAGGAGACTTCTTGGAAGACCCAAAGCATGCTGGAGGGATTATAAAGTATATCTATGTCCTATCTGGCCTGGGAACACCTGGAATCTCCCAGGACGAGCTGGAAAAGGCTGCTGGGAGAGAGACGTCTGGGTCAACTTGATCAGCTTGCTCCCACAGCCACCTGACCCCAGGATGGATGGATGGATGGATGGAAGGGTGGATGGATGGATGGATGGATGGATGGAAGGGTAGATGGATGGATGGATGGATGGATGGATGGATGGATGATGGATGGAAGGGTGAATGGATGGATGGAAGGGTAGATGGATGGATGGATGGTAGGGTAGATGGATGGATGGATGGATGGATGGAAGGGTGAATGGATGGATGGAAGGGTGGATGGATGGATGGATGGTAGGGTAGATGGATGGATGGATGGAAGGGTGAATGGATGGATGTAAGGGTAGATGGATGGATGGATGGAAGGGTGGATGGATGGATGGGTGAATGGATGGATGGGTGGATGGATGGATGGATGGATGGATGAATGAGAATGTGGATGGATGGGTAGATGGATGGATGGATGGATGGGTGGATGGATGAATGGGTGGATGAGTTTTCTACACAATGTCCTGACATCCAACTCATAAAGGACAATTTATTTTACCCAGCCATAATGAAAGAATTAACTCAGCTCTTCCTCCCTTCCTGCCTTATTTATCAGCAGAACTTAAACCTGTTTGTGTGTCAACATTTGCAAACAATGATTACAGATTCCTCCCCACGCTCCCCAGGTCCTCATCCATCAGGGCCATAGTTTGGAAACAGGCACTAATGGCTGAAAGTTTCTTGGAAAATCACAATCTTGGGAGTTCATTGCCATGTGTACTAGGCCCTGTTAGCTTTACTTGGAGGTGGTCCAGTCATTAATGAACACATAAACATGTTGGTTTAAAAAGGAAACACTGATTCATTAATTACATCCTACTGTTGAATTTGTTGTTTGTAATTAAAGAGCCAGAATTGAAAGAAGCCAGACCTCAGAAAGGGTCATTAGGCGAATTAACTACATGCGGTCTGTCTGCCCTAGCAGTTAGTCAAATATTTCACAACCAAACAGTTTGTTGTCTGATTTCAAGAAAGTGAAGCTCTGAAACAAATCCTCCATTGACATTTTAGAAAATCATTATATCAACATTTTTAGCCTGGGAACAAAGCCAACAGGTTACCTGAATACTCGTGACTATAAAATATCAGATTCAGCACAAAAACCCATCTTGAAAATGGTGAATAAGGCACTGAGCGGTGAAAAAGCACAAAGACTTTTCTGCTGATCAGCACTGTCAGCTTTGACTCCAATAAAGAAGTCTTGTACTTTGTCCACTGCTGGTTTTGTTGCAGACCGAGACGATCAAAGCAGTCGTCTGGGGCAAAAGGTCAGGTTTTTGATAATTAAAATATAATCACAGTTTATCAAGTGAAGCCGTTTGTCATAAATCCAATCTCAAGGTTTCTGATGACATAACGGAACTTCTACATGTCTCTACTTTGATGCTGTGAAGTTTACAGGCAGTTAACTTTGAAGACACCCTTTATGGAATATGCTTATTCAGGCACCTGTCCAATAAGGTCATAAATATGTCCAGTTATCAGCTCTTATTGCCTGCCTGTCTGTCAGCAGTTTAAAGCTCTTAAAAGGGGGCCTCCCTTTAAGTGTACACCTACTTTAAGTTAACAATTACCCCCCATTAGCTTCCCCCTGTGCATCAGGTGAGTGTGAGCAGGTAGAAGGTGTTAAAAGCATCGTCCTCTGGGGGGCTTTGGAGAATGCAAACAGAAACGTGAGGTTATCACCCTCTTTTGGTAAATCAGTTACTCATTTACAGCTCGCACCTAGTCCGGAGGTCAGCGCCGCGGTTGCAGAAAGTGTTTCACTTTGTGTGTGTGTGTGTCGTCTGTCTCCGTGCTGTGCGAGTGTCTGACTGTGGACATGGGTTTTACAAAGTCACAGAAGAAGAAGATTTTTGTGAGTATGACTTTCATGTTCTGAATTGTCAGTAATAAGGACATGTCAGTAATGAGGACATGCATGCTGTTGCAAAGTAAAAAGGTGCGCAGGTCCCGGGCCTGGTGCATTGTTCAGCTTTTTCAAATCAAGACAAGTTCAGCAGTCTTAAAGATGTGCTTTTCAAATCTGTACTAAACGGTTAAAGTTTGCAGGAGGCCGAATACTTTGACCATGAGAGAAGTTCTCAAATAAGCGTGTAAGGGACTCCACACCTGGGCGACGTGATGTCAATATACCACACTATGGATTCACATCGGATCAACACGATCTATAACGGATCTCTAAAAGTCTAAAACCATCAGCAGCACTTCAGAGAGCTCTGCATGATTCCTAAAGCAATTATACTAAAACAAATTACATTACAATATGGTTTCTTATTCCTATTTTTTAACCAATTAGTTTAATGTCAGTCGAAATGTTTGTAAACCCAACATTCAAACTGTCTGATTTGAGCCTGTCTGATTTTGGTTTGTTGAAAAAGACCCTGCAGGCTGAGATGTTGATGATGAAGGACACCCGTGATGTCATGGCTGTCTGTGTGAGTCTGTTGATTTGGGCCTTTGAACAGTCAAATATCTGAACCATGCATACATACCATGGCGAAGAAGGCTCTCTACAACTGAAGAGAAGCTAAAGTTAAACATCTTTTGTAACCCCGTCCAGTTCAGCAGTGAACTCGCCTCACATTGATGCTGAACTTGACAGCTGTCACGTCTCTCGCCAAACGTCTTTAGTCTAGGATTCCCTTAAGTTTAATGAAACACACGTGCTTCTGGTTTCAATCTTTTTGTTTCAGATCATAAATGCTCTCCAGATGTTGAAGTTTGATAATTCAATACAAACAGTTAAACTGGGAATAAGATGATGATGATAAGATGTAAGGCTCGTTTACTGAACTCACAGCTGAAATGGGAGAACTCCTCTGTGGGCATACACATTAATCCCCTACATTGATTAATCCGTGGTTTATCCGTGATTATGGACAAGGACCGCCACGGATAAATTTTTTTATTCATAAAATTACTGCGTGCACGAGGGAGATCGAGAGAGAGAGAGAGAGCGGGGAAGAGGGAGCACGCAAGAGAGTGCTGGTGGCAAACTGTTCGCTTCTCTTCGTTGGCTGACATTTAACATCCAGAATGACACTCCTAGGTTTATCTGACATTTAAGTTTGTTTGTGTTCACAGATCGGGGTGTTGGCGGCGTCGATTGTGACCCTCATCCTCGGCCTGGGACTTGGTCTTGGACTTGACTTGCAGAAGTGTCGAAGTGAAGGTGCTGACAGAGACACACAAACACAGACGAGCAGCGCTGTCTCTGCACACACACACACACACACACACACACACACACACTCAACTATGAAGTGAGTCAGAAAAGTTTCTGTGCTTATGACGTGCACCAGAGTTAGTTTCTGGTTCTCACTGAGAAAATAACGGGCACCTGTGAGACAGTTTCTCTTGATCCACACAAAGGGTTGCTTAATGGCATTTTACCTTCTCTGTGAGCCGCTGAAATCTCGTAGAGTTTTACGTGCACACATACTTTCTCGTGAACCCCTCACATCCCCTCAAAAGTTTTTCTTTTATATCAGCACTGATATCAGTCGATTGAGTCAGAAGTCAGAAGTTTGTTTTGTTAGAGTCTGCTTCTCTGTGAGACTTCAGATGAGTTGCACACACAATAACCTCAAAAACAGCCTATTGTGAGTGACTCCGTTATGTTGGTGTCTTTGAGTGCATGCATAAGATGGACCGTAAACTCCCGAGAGAAAAACACCGGTCCTCTCTTTCCTCTGGAAATGTTTCTGAACTTTTTATTGCTGGTCAGTCTTTAAACAGTTTATTGCAGTTTTCCATGTATGACTGCACATATGCTCACATCGTTTCCTGACACATGCTCGTGTTTATTCTCTCAAAAAGCGTTTTCTCCTGTAGTCGTAAATCATCAGACTCATAACCTGCTGTGTCATCATGAGGAGGTGATAGTTGTGTGTGACACGTTTCCTCGAAAAAGTCTCATGTGATGCCAAGCTGTGAGTCTGACACACAGATGGAGACAGATGTGTTTTTAAATTAAAAATAATAAAATATATATAGGCAAAAACAAACATTAAAAACAGCATCAGCATACTTTCTGTTTTAACCAATCTCAGTTTACAAACACAAAGACCGTCAAAGATGTGCAGACATAAAGAACACCTGTCGTCTAAAACGTCACCTTCTTCATTTTTATGAAGATTAACTCTTTAAAGTAGAGCTGTCAGCATTAACGAGTTAATCTGATTAATCTCATTGTATTTTGTCCCTTCAGGCTCACCGTAGATAGTCGTCCTCACTGTCTCCCTGTAGTCTCAGTGATGTAAAAGAAGGACACTGCTGCATCTTTGAATGTCTCATTTCACTTTAACAAACTCTCAGACAGCTCAGCTGACGAGTCCAAAGTGATATCCACCTTATGACATCACACATTGACCTTTGTTACGTTCCTTTGAGCTGCTTGACCTCATTTTGGGATCCCTCACCACTTCCTGTTTCTGTGCTTAACTTCCTGTCCTAACCTTCACTCTACCAGAAGGGACTTACTTTATTTCAAAATAAAAGTACACAGCAAGTAAAGTACTCTCAGTTTAAGACAGGACAAGCATTCAAAATAAAAGCCTCATAAGTTTTATTACTTTTAAAATGCTAAATAATGGAAGTTCAAACACGCGATAAAAATGTGATTAATCACGATTAACTACAGAAATGTAGCGATTAATCGCGATTCACATTTGTAATCGCTTGACAGCCCAACTTTAAGGCCTTAAACCATACCAGCTTGTGTTCAGAGAAAAAAATTCACTCAGGTCACTCTCACAATATCTAAAGTATAAATATTCTTCACCTTTCTGAAAACACTCTGGAGTTAAAGTTATACTTCTTTCTTATTCTGAACCCACATCACTCACATGCTCAATATCTTCAGGAGAGCTGCAAAATAAAACAGAAAACACCAACAAGTTGTTTTCTCTTTTTTTCATGACCAGTCACCACGCACACGTCCTGCAGGAATCGATGCTATGAGCCGTACGATGGGGACGTCCCCGGCTGCAGATGTGACATGGGCTGTGTCCACACCAACAGCTGCTGCTATGACTACCACGACATCTGCACCGTACCCAGTAAGATTCTCTTTTTCTCGCTTACTTTGTTGTGGAACAATGCTATGGAGCCTCGCAAGGCTCAGGTAAGGAAAATAAAAAGCTGTTTACAAGCACTACAATCTACAAATCTGTGTGTACAATTTATGAAACCGTTCCCATGGATTGGAACTCCGTGCACTCAGATTTGTAAAGTTGGTACAGATTTGCAAAGGGCTTTTTTTGTTTTCTTACCCGAGTCTTGCGGGGCTCCGTATGTTGCACATTTCTTAGGACAAAAGTTCTGATGCTACAATCTGAGTTTCCACCCACAGACATAACATGCAGTGTAGCAATGCCCTCAGATTTACGACCAAATATTTCACTTTAACTCAGCTTCCATTGAATCCAAAAGTTACTCCATCTTTTTTATTGCCCCACTCTGTTTGTGATTGGATTGCAGAGAAGTTTTGTCACTCTTGATTTGTTCATTCAGCCCAGCAGTGGGAGTGCACGAGGCTGCGCTGTGGAGAGACGAGGCTAACGCAGAGCAAATGTCACTGCTCCGACGACTGTCTGTCTGCAGGAGACTGCTGCACAAACTACAAACATGTCTGCCACGGTGAGAATGTGAGGCCAGGACGGCACAGATAAGATACCAGAGGAGATTAGATACAGGGGGATTTACAAAGACAACATGAGACAGGACGATTAGAACACTGATAAAGAAAAGACACATCTACAGCTGTTTGACTGAAAACAACTCTTAATGAGGAATGCTACTATAATATCTGAATGTCACATGGAGGTATTTAGGGGAGGGGAGAATGCATTTGGTGTTTGATTTGTTAGAAATAAGAATTTAATTATTTCTAACAAATCAAACACCAAATGCATTCTCCCCTCCCCTAAATTCTTTGAAAGAGAGATGTTCAAAATGTTTGACTTTAATGTTTAAGCTTCCTAATAAACATGTTAACTTTATTATTTATGGTTTAGATCCGAGTCTTAAAGATCTTCTTTATTTTCATGCAGGAGAGATGGAGTGGGTGGAGGACAAGTGTAACAACCTGTCATCCCCAAAGTGTCCAGCAGGGTGAGAATATCTGTTTATATGACAGAGTGGATGTTCACGCAGGTTGCCATGTCGTGGACACTAAAGCTTCAGTGTTTAGCCAGCTCTGCATCGGTCTGTAAACCTTTCTGTGTTCTAACCTCTCTCCATTTTTCAAAAGTATCTCCAATATTGATCCTAGTTTGAGCACGTTTCTGCTCGTGGAGCTTATTAGAAACATGCAGAGGCTTTTTAGGTCGGGTACAATCACTTCTATCTGAACCAGTTCTCTTGTCCGCTTCCATCGCTGCAACACCTGTTGGTTTGACCTGATAACTGCTCTCATATCTGGCAAACTGAGGGGCGTCCCAAACGTCCGTGTGGGGGTTCCTTAAAACCACCTACCTTCTCTGGTCCAAACAAATCCAGAGCATTCAGGACCAGAACCTAAAGTTAGAAGGAGGACATACTGACTGCTGCATTGTTGTCAGAGAAGCCAGCACTTTAACATAGCATGTTTCTTTAATGTTTGATCATATAGTAAGGTACCTTTATCATTTCAGAGTCACTACACATCTTACTGAGTGGACCTTTAAAAAAGTGTTTGAAAGACTTTTTCAAAAGTCAACGGAGTTGTAATGAAGTTCTTTGTTTTTAATGGCTGAAACTGAAGATGTGTTTATTTCCAGTTTATTCCATAGGAATCCAAATGAACAATAAACAGACCCATATGTTGAACTGTCTGCATCTTTTGACTCTTAATCAAGTTAAAGTAAAGCTTTGACAAACTGCTTTCATCATTAATTTCTCCATAATGTAATCTGCACTGAGAGTCATGATTTCCTCACATCTGTATCCTGTGGAAACAGCTGCACTCTTCTTCATTCATCTCATTTCCTGTACTTTATCCATTCTCCTCTGTCCTAGCTTCAAGCAGCAGCCTCTGCTCCTCGTCTCTCTGGACGGACTGCGGGCAGAGTATTTGCAGACGTGGAGCCACCTGATCCCCGTGCTGGACAAACTGAGTATGTGTCAAACACGCCGTGCCTCTTACACTCGAGTCCTGACAGAGACAAACAGAAACATAAGATCTCTTATCGACCTCTTAATAAAGTATTTCTGATTCTGATTCAGCTCCTGGCTGTGATCCTTTCATTTTAACTCTGACCTTTGACTTTTTTAAGAATTTGAACTTTATTAGATGAACTTTCCCGTCAGACAGCCTCTGGTTTCAGGACCTTTCAATATTAAGTGGAAACATACCTCACAGTCATGCAAAGCAGCTCTGCTTGGATCCTCAGTCTGCGTTTGGATGCTCAGTGATTCAGACTAAAGGATTCTTTTAGTTCAGGGGATGAGTTGGAGATATTTCACTGCTAAAGAAGCGTCTGATTCACTGCTGAACTTAAAGGCACACTTAAATGTAATATAAATCAAGGATATCCTCTGAAAATAACTCTGTGAGTCATGACTGTCTACAATGAGTGTAACACCCGAGTCCCACTGTCTGTGAGGCTTTCCGAGTTTTCCGAGTCCTATCTTCATTTTGTTTACATCGCCAGGACGGCCGGCCGGCTCATCCCCTCGCGTATAAAAGTTGTTTAATTGAGGGACTAGAGAAAAGAAGAATAACATACTGTACTCACTGCTTAACTGAATGTCATGTGAGCGTTTCTAGATCACCATCATTTCGGGTAAATTTACATGCAGTGTGAAGATACGAGCATAATAAGGATCGCTAGTATTAGCATGCTAACACAACAATGCAGCGCGAGTTGTTTTGGTTTCATGCTGGTGCTCAAGGGCGACATCTGCTGGATCAAAAAAAACGCATATAAAGCCTTTAAGAAGCCTTTTGGATGAGAGAGCAGAACATCAAGACAGAACAAGCCCACGGCGGCTGACTGACTGCTGAATCTGCACGAGTCTGACTGAACGCCCGAGCTTATGATGCATGTTCATACTCGTGACCGCAGCAACACACCTGTGTCCACATTCTAACTTCTCCCATCAAAATGTGGATGAAACAATAAAACCTACATTGTTATATTCAGAATCTAAAAATGTTGTGCAGAGACGAACACAAACAACAAGAGAATCAACAGTTGAAATGTCCTTAAAAAATGTCTCAAATCTTTCATTTAAACGTTTGAGAAGAGTTCAAACTACAGAGCGTTCTGCTTCCATCGCTCGTGTTTCATGCAGCTCTGAGATGACCTTGTAGTTTTCTGTTCTGCAGATTTGTGTTTGACTTTGAGATTTTGTCCGTCAGCTGTGACGTCAGTGATTACATCTTCATGTGTTCTGTGTCCCAGAGAGGTGTGGGGCTTCTGCTCCGTACATGCAGGCTGCCTTTCCAAGCAAGACTTTCCCAAACCACTACACCATTGTGACGGTAAACCACTCACACGCACACACACACACACACTGCATGTGAAACCATGCAGTATACTTATACTCTTGAAAGAAATCAGTTCTATGAAAACCTCCTCTCCTCTCCTCTCGTGTCCTCTTCTCTCCTCTCGTGTTCTCTCCTCTCCTCTTATGTCCTCTCCTCTTGTGTCCTCTCCTCTCCTCTTGTGTCCTCTTCTCTCCTCTAATCTCTTCTTGTGTCCTCTGCTCTCCTCTTGTGTCCTCTTTTCTCCTCTACTCTCCTCTTGTGTCCTCTCCTCTCGTGTCCTCTTCTCTTGTGTCCTCTCATCTTGTGTCCTCTCCTCTTGTGTCCTCTCGTCTCGTGTCCTCTTCTCTCCTCTAATCTCTTCTTGTGTCCTCCTCTCTCGTCGCGTGTCCTCTTCTCTCCTCTACTCTCCTCTTGTGTCCTCTCCTCCCTCTCCTCTTGTGTCCTCTCCTTTTGTGTCCTCTCCTCTCCTCTTGTGTCCTCTCCTCTCCTTTCCTCTCGTGTCCTCTCCTCTCTCTTTCTTTCCTCCTCTCTTCCTTACATGTTTCCTTACTCCTCCTCCTGTCTCCTCTACTGTATCATTATTTCCTTTCTCCTCCACCTTGGCGTGCTTCTTTCCTCCTTCCCTTCCTTTCCTTGTTACTTCTTTCTCGCCTCTTTGCTTCTTCCTCTCCTTTGCTCTCCTCTTTCCAATTGTTTCCTTTCCTGTCTCCTCCTCCTTGTCCTCCCCTCTCAGGGTCTGTATCCAGAGTCTAACGGTTTGATCGATAACAGCATGTACGACCCCGTGTTTGATGCCAGCTTCAGTCTGTCCAGTCCGGAGAAAGATAACCCTGCCTGGTACTACGGGCAGCCTGTGAGTCCTTGATCATGTACCTTTAAAGATTCATATCATAAATGTGGCGAGCACCAGACCCTCTGGTGACCATGAGTGTTAATGCTACCAGAGCAGAATGTGAGTGTGCTGGGTCTCAGTGAGGATCATCCAGCGTTCTTGTCGTTGCAGATTTGGCACACAGCAAGGTACCAGGGGCTGAAGTCCGGGACTTATTTTTGGCCCGGGTCAGATGTCAACATCAATGGAAGCTACCCCAACAAGTACCGACGTTATGACGGGTGAGGTGTCCGTTAAAAGTCAAATATAAGACTTTAAGTTTCACGTTGTGCTGAAGTTGCTGCCTCTATGATCTACAATATCATTGGATGGTTGAAAAGAGCTGATGGTCTGAAAACGTCACAGAAAAAGGCGGAGCTCTTGGAAAAGTGGCCAAACATGCACACTTGAGTCAGAGGACATTTTTCCTCTTTTGTAAATCAGACGTTTAGCATGAAAAACAAAAGAAATCATGTCTTGACACGTGTGTTGACCACCATGTTTACTCCTGCCGTCTCCGCCTCTGTGTAGCAAAGTGCCGTTTGAAGAGCGAGTTTTCACCGTGCTCCAGTGGCTGCAGCTGCCTGAAGAACAAAGGTTGGTCGTCCCTGGAACAATTATATGACTATTTAGCATCTGTAAAATAACAGTGCTGTGCTAAACAGAGACTTGAACTTTCTTTTCCTCCAGACCAGATTTCTACACGTTGTATCTGGAGGAGCCGGATAAATCTGGACACAGCTACGGTCCAGTGAGTGGAGGGGTAAGTTCACCTGAATCACCCAACGAGTGAACAACAGGAGGAGTACCAAAAATAACAAAGCAGAGAAAGTGTGACCAGAACTCTTCTCCTCGTTGTTTTCATAAATCCGTCTGAAGAGACACAAAGATGAGCTCAGTCTAACCTAGTTCATGAAATCACACCAGCTCCCCTCATCCTCATCCTCATCATCACCACCATCATCATCATTATCACCATCATCATCGTCATCATCATCATTATCATCATCATCATCACCATCATCATCATCATCACCATCACCATCACCATCATCATCATCATCACCATCATCATCATCACCGTCATCACCATCACTATCATCATCACCTTCATCATCACCATCATCACCATCATCATCATCACCGTCATCACCATCACTATCATCATCACCTTCATCATCACCATCATCATCAACACCATCATCATCACCATCACCATCACCATCACCTTCATCATCACCATCATCACCAACACCATCATCATCAACATCATCATCAACATCATCATCACCATCATCTTAACCATCATCATCATCATCACCATCATCATCACCATTATCAACATCATCATCACCATCATCATAACATCACCATCAACACCATCATCATCATCAACATCACCATCATCTTAACCATCATCATCATCATTATCAACATCATCATCACCATCACCATCATCATAACCATTATCATCATCATCATCATAATCAACATCAACATCACCGTCATCACCACCATCACCATCATCCCCATCATCATCACCATCATCATAATCACCATCGTCATCATCATCACATCATCACATCATCATCATCATAACCATCATCATCATCATAATCAACATCACCATCACTATCATCATCACCATCATCACCATCATTATCACCGTCACCACCATCATCACCATCACCATCATCACCATTATCATCATCATCATCACCACGATGATCATCACCATCATCATCATCATCACCACCATTATCACACCACCATCATCACCATTATCATAACCATCATCACCATTATCAACATCAACATCACCGTCATCACCATCACTACCATTATCACCGTCATCACCATCATCCCCATCATCATCACCATTATCAACATCATCATCAGCATCATCACCATCATCATCATCACCGTCATCATCATCACTATCATCATCACCTTCATCATCACCATCATCATCAACACCATCATCATCACCATCACCATCATCATCATCACCATCATCATCATCATTAGCCTCGTTAATGTGTCACATTATCACAAATGAACATAGAGACGGTTCTTAAAGGCTTGACTGAAAAAGTCTGAAGTCCCCTGAGCGGCTACTAAAGAAAGACCTCCAAAAGATTTAAAGGTGGAGTCAGTAGAAATGTTAGTAAACACACCATTCAAACTGGGCCCCTCCTCCTCAGCTCATCACCCCCAGATGCCCCGGCCCCTGCAGGAAGTAGTGTGTATGTTTACTGCTTGTACCTACACTGCAAGCTAACACACGCTAGCACAAGCTAACCGCCGGTGTTTGTCCCCTGCCTGTCCAACAGGGAGCATGCCAACTCCACCTCCACGGGTAAAAGACAACACAAGGTTCACCCTCGTTTTAGAATGAGTTTTATCCGCTTGGTGTTTCTCCTCACTGTGATCATATTTTCTATTCTTTGCTGCTACGTCCACGTCCGTCATATTCTCTGGTTTGAATGGTGTCCAATCACTGAGTTGTATCCACTCCTAAACTCACCTGCTGCGCTGTCATTGGCTGGAGGAAACACACCCGCTCCGCCCAGAAACGTTCCAAATCAACCAGAACAAACCAGAACAAACCGAAACAGTAAAATTCAGTCAGAGGACAGGGTCTCTGCAGACACAGTCACCACCACACATGTACAGAGGCCCAGAAGGGAAGACGGAGCAGCTTTACTTTAGGAGAAGTCTGTATTTTATTTGAAGGAGTAAACTGCTCTATTTTATTTGAAGGAGGATGCTGCTGACTCTACCTTTAACTGAATCATGAATACAACTGTTAACATCAGCTGGCGATAAGAGCAGCTCGTCTGAGGTGAAACTGACCTCGTCTCCTCTGCAGCCTGATGACCTGCACAGATAAATACACTGAACCGTCTCCTCTGGAGATGTCGGGTTATAAACAGACCTTTCTCTGTTGACGTGACTCTGACGTGCTGCAAAGATTCTTTCACTCTAACTTCTTTCTGTTTGTATATATGGCTGGGAGGCCGCGTTCTTCTGTAATTAAAAACATGCAGATACCAAACCTCAAAGCGGGTCATTGGAGGGTTTAAGAGGATGTTTGAAGTTTAACCAAACAACAACACCAAACATTGTCGGGACATCTTTGCTGCGTACAGAGACAATCTGACAAAGATGACTTCATCTTTGTGAGCTATGAGGGCACCAGAACCCTAGGGGAGGCAGCCCCCCTCCCATAAGGCACACCGATGCACACCCAGATGTCGTTATTTCAGTCAACTTCAGACTCGTTGAGAGTATGAGAGTAAATCACAAAAACATCAGTTTATGTTTCAGGGTCAGACCTCTGACGTGATCCAGAGTGAAGCCTCTGTGTGATTGCTGCCCTAGCAAACGTGAAATACCTGAAGTTAAATCTGGGTAACTGTTTGACTGTATCACCTGAGCGGGAACAGTGACAGCCTCCTTTGTCACTTTCGTCTACCTGCCTGAAGATAAAAACAACGTTGATCAGCGTTTCATCTGAGAGGAGGTTAGTCATCGAGACGCTCTGCAGTTACCCATAACCACTCACCACAGACGTCTTCAACGCTAACGAGCAGCTGGTGGTTCTTGATCATCGAGAAACGGTCTAGACAAAACAAGAAAAAAGATTGATTATAAAACTCACGTGCAAAACACTGTGGTTTTTAGTTGTTGACCTTTTGTTGCAGCTTGTTCTTATAAAGCGTGACGGAAACCTCAGACCCCAGGGAGGCACTGGAACTGAGATTCCTCTGAAAAAGTGAACAGGTTTCCCACAAAGAACTCTTTAGAAAGCTGTCTGCATTTTATCAACGAGACAAGAGAAGATGAAAGATGACTTGGAGGTTGGAGGATGTGAGGCACAGAGACAATCTGAAGCTGAAGGTAGAGGGCAGAGTCAGGCTGTCACCACAGCAGCAACAGTCATAAGCAGACGGCATGTTGAGAATCTGAATGTGCCAACCATTCATTGGAAGCTGCACAGGTTGTGCTTTAGCTGCAGACATGGTGGTTTGCTCCACTGACTTATGTCAGCACTTCCAACACTCTTTATGCCCTCTCCACAAGGGAAGTGAACCTAACAGCATTGCATTGTGGGTTGAATTTGGCCATCTGTTAACAATTTCAAATAGGTTAGACAAGCGTGGCTAATGTTAGCATTGCTAACTGTAGTGACCAATTTTAACAAACCCAATAATGTTTAGAAAAGTCACTTTGAGGGATGAATGTGGAAGCTTTCGGACGCGTGCTTAGCTCGAAGAAATTAACACAGTCCATTGATGATTTGATTTGGATATTTCAATCCATTTATTTTTAAACACTTCTTATCAAATAAAGAAAAATATGACGAACCACTGTCTATAAATAAACAAACAAATCCGCGTTGGATGCGCTTAACTCCGACAGGCTGACACGGTAAAAAAAAACAGTTTGCCGCCATTCAATCACCTGTCCCACCTCACCTGGAGCCTTGCCTTAACCACAGCATCCGCCCAGGCTACACATAGTGCCCAGTAGAGGGCCAACACACACAACCGCAAGGAAAATAGCATCACACAAAACAAACACCTAATTTGGCTCCAACACTAACAACTCCAGCCTTCAGTCCTCCATGCAGGTTAACATCCACATGCCTGTATATTTACATGTCGCTCTGGTCGATATGGTGCAGCAGACATATCACTTTATCTAATTTTAAAGACTTAAAAATTGACGAACTGAGCCAGGCTACAGGACGCCATTCTTCAACTGTCCTGGAGTCTCATTTATAACCGTTGCGTACGCCTTTTCCCACACCAAGTCTGTGATCTATAAAAACAAACCTGGCGGTAAAATGTGCGCACCGGTAAGCAAACTCTGACCCAGGCGTACGTACATTTTGGAGGCATGGGAAATTGGCGACACAGATGGCGAAGTGGTGAATTGAAGCCTGCAGATACATATTGATGTCTCTTCCACAATTTATTTCACTAAATATCAAAATTTACTGACAGATCCACATCATCATAATCATTCAAACCGATGGTTTTATTGAGGCTATAACCGCGCATGTAGTGAGCCGTTTCCAATAAGTCACTTTCATTATGATATAAACATTGAAAAAAAAAAAAAAAAAGTCTGCCCCATACATATTGCATCCGTCTCGCCTTCATTATCCCGGACAGACCTCAGAGGACCAGACTTGTACACTAATGTAATCACTGATGTAGAGTTAAACATTAGACTAACAAAGACCATAGAGCCTCCAGTTTTCATTAATATCTTTCAATATCGTGCGTTTATCATCAAGTGTGGTTTTTAGTTTTAAAGGTCCCATATTATGCTTTTTCTGGTTTTATATGCCCTTTAGTGTGTTTTCCAAGTGTCCTGTGAATGTTTAGGCACATCTATGTGCACAAATTCATGTTGAAGTCCGCAGAAACGCGGCTTCTCCTACGTCCTCCGCATATAACGCTCGGTTCTAGCCCCCCTCGATAAAAATTTGTCTGTGCGGCATCATTGTCAGTGTGAGATCACTGATTTAAGCCCATTGGCTCGTTTTGGCAAGCCCTGCAGCTCATGTTGAGATTTCCGAGAAGCGTGCTGAGCAACTGACCAATAACAACAGAGCGGATCGGCAGACCAATCAGAGCAGACTTGGCCCACGTGGGGTCTAACAGTGTGGGCACAGCAGAGCGTAGCTGACGGACTCAGAGCATAGAGGGAGCAAGGAGGAGCAGTACATGAAAACAGACACTTTTTTCGAACTTTATCTATTGTGAACGTACAAAAGTAGGTACAGGTAAATATATGAACCCCAAAAAGGGTATAATATGGGCTCTTTAATAAAGATGACTGTGTCAAGACGCACAGAGCGCACAGAGACACAGCGGTGCCTACACACATTTCGCCTTCTCATTACTCAGCATGTCTTCATAAACTGCACGTATTTATTCTGTAAATAATTCAAGTGTGGACATTAAGTCGGGGCATCTCTGGATCATTAGGCCTATATATCCTCAATTATTCACAGAGCAGACGGAGTTTCCCACTAAAAAAAGGGGCCAACAATTAAATGTTTTTGTTCGTTGATCAAACTTTTGATTACTAATATGATATAGTGAGGGAGCCTGCTGACTGACGTGAGCACTCTGACAATATGTATAAGTCAGTGTGGGTCCCGTAAACATGTAAACATTGCAGATATACTCATGCGTAATGATGAACGGCGTATGTTTTGGCACATAGGACAGGGTGAATGCAGCAGCGACGTGGTGTCATTCTCTGATTTCTGTGAACTTTGTGATCCTCCTGCTGCAGTAAACTATCGATATGTCCATTTTATCCTTCACTTAATTCACAAACTCCTCCGTTTCTGGGTCAGAAAGTTTTGTTTCTTCGTCTAAACTTTCATTTTCATTCAAGGAGCTGCTTTGCATTGACCGTTTATGGTTGTTTGTGGGCGTGTAGAGGGCGGAACATGGGACTAATCTACTTGCGCACATTTCCAGGTGGATCGTGATTTATAAAGGGAACATTGCGTGCAGGTGTGCGTACGAACGTTTTTTTTAATCATTTTGTGCGCACGCCATTTCCAGGTTTTTGGCGCACATACATTTTTAGTATGGATTCTATGCACTCTTTTATAAATGAGACCCCAGGTGTTTTCATCTGGGTCATAGTTCAGACACTGACCCGAGTTACAGCCCCAACTTGTGCCGGGAGGCTAGGCTGCACAACATTTGACAGGCTTTGGTACCTTTGACAAAGTGTCGCGTGAAAGCAAACCAAACCAAATGAAAGACGCAACAATCTGAAGATTGAGCTCAACTCTCTCGATCACAAACTGTCTCTGGATGGTTTCCCTTTCAGCCGTCTCCTTCTATTTAAAGGGGACATATTATGAAAAATCCAGTTTTACAGTGTTTGTGAACATATATTTGGGTAACCCAAGTGTCTACCGACCCACAAAATATGAAATAAACCCATCCAGTCCTTTGTTTGTGGTCTACATAAGTCTTACAACACAGAGAAAAATGTTCTGTTTCAAATTTGCTCTCCTTCACAGTGGGATTCTGGTTAAATAAATCCCCTCCCCTCCCCTGGTTTCACCACCCATGGACTCCACCCCCAACCTAGAACAAAGTAATAGCGAAGGAGTGATGTCTACCAGGAAAACTCAGGGGGGGCTCATTGCATTTAAAGAGACACACACACCAAAGCTGGTTTATACAGGGTCACAAACCTCCTCTGGTGCTTGATTCATGTTATATTTTGACCAAAGCACAGCACAGATGTTTAATTTAGACCACAGGGGACTGATTGAAAAAGTGGAAAAGGGGATAATATATCCTTTAGATTCTGGTCCTGAAACTCTGATTGTCTCTACAGGCTAAGGGAGCGTTCTCACAAAGATGAAACATTAAATGTTCTTGTTTCTTTCCTGCAGCTCATTGAAGCCATCCAGGGCGTGGACCAGATCATCGGGCAGCTCATGAATGGCCTCAAACAGATCGGCCTTCACCGCTGTCTCAACATCATCGTCGTGGCAGATCATGGTAACGATGATTCATTTGATTAATTTCTCTGAGTAAACCTGGAATGAATTCCTTAAAATTCCACAGAAGTCATGGATTGAACAATGCGGTGTGAGTGTTGAGGAAGGAATGCTTCTGTTTTTATCAAGCCTGAGCGTTATCTAGGTATGGATATGGTGCAAGATACTGACTCAAAAACCAGCTGGCATGTACTTGTCAATATTGTTTCAAAATGATCCGTTTTCTGAATCAGCTTTGTTGATTTTAACATGGCTGCTGGCTGAGTCAGTGTTAGGAGTTGAGCAACTACAGCCACAAAAAAAACGTCCAAAAATCCATTTATGTCATTCTCTGCTCTGAACTCTGAACCTGCAGGCTTAAAGCATTTGAAAAGAAAGCCATAAGCACGAACATAGGGCCTCATTCACTGATATAATGTATTATTATTACTCTGCTAATAATCAAAGTGCATATGCAAAACGGATTCATAACACGTGCACATGTTTTTTTGTCCTCACCCCCTCACCACCTTCGTGGTCAGAAGCGTTCTAAATTGGACATCTGATTGGTGTATCAAGACGAGAGAGATGGTCCCAAAAGCCCTCATGTCGTCACTTGTGGAATTGCAGTTTGTGGCACTTCTATCTTGGTTTCACTTTTCAAAAACATTTTCAGTCTGCAGTTGTTTTTTTCCCGCTCTTCTTTCGATTCTATTGTTTAAGGAAATGTCAGAGTTTGGAGACGTTTCGATTTTTTTTCCTTTAAAGCCCTTTTTGTCTGGTTTTTGGAACACACGCCATCTGTGTCCATTTGGTGATTCACCTGTATGGATTTCAAAATCTCTGTGAATGGATATTTACCGTTTGTTGAAACCATGAGCGTCCTGCAGACAAATCCATCCAGTCGTGTCCTGGAAATGTAAAAACTCGTAAACAGAAAGTGTGTGCGTTTGCGCGTGCGTGCGTGTGTGTGTGTGTGCGCGCGTGCATCACAGGTATGGAGGACACAAGCTGCGACAGGAAGGAGGTGCTGCAGGAGCTGGTGGGAGACACCAGGAGCTACTGGGTCACTGAGGGACCGTTTGGACGGATCAGAGCCAAAAACAACGACACAGAGTGTGAGTATTCCTCGGTTAACTTCCTGATTTACAGCCGCCATTTGCCTCCCACGTCATGGTCAGGATGGGAAATGTAGTTCTAAAGACATGTTTCAGGTTTAAGGTTGTAAGAGAGTCAGGAATCTGAAGATTGACCTCAACTCTCTCGATCACAAACTGTCTCTGGATGGTTTCCCTTTCAGCCGTCTCCTTCTATTTAAAGGGGACATATTATGAAAAATCCAGTTTTACAGTGTTTGTGAACATATATTTGGGTAACCCGAGTGTCTACCGACCCACAAAATATGAAATAAACCCATCCAGTCCTTTGTTTGTGGTCTACATAAGTCTTACAACACAGAGAAAAATGTTCTGTTTCAAATTTGCTCTCCTTCACAGTGGGATTCTGGTTAAATAAATCCCCTCCCCTCCCCTGGTTTCACCACCCATGGACTCCACCCCCAACCTAGAACAAAGTAATAGCGAAGGAGTGATGTCTACCAGGAAAACTCAGGGGGGGCTCATTGCATTTAAAGAGACACACACACCAAAGCTGGTTTATACAGGGTCACAAACCTCCTCTGGTGCTTGATTCATGTTATATTTTGACCAAAGCACAGCACAGATGTTTAATTTAGACCACAGGGGACTGATTGAAAAAGTGGAAAAGGGGATAATATATCCTCCTGGTTTCACTCCTTCAGTGTGAGCTCTCAGGTCAGGTCCGACAATCGGGTCGTCGATGTGCAAGCTCTCAGCTCTGAGGTCGTGGGCCCAGGTCGTGCATCATTAACGTTTCTGTTGTACCGTGTGAGCTGACATTCCACCTCGAATTTTCAACAGTCGTTTACAGCACGCCAGGCTTAGGACCATGTGTAAGTCACAAAGCTGCTCTTCTTCTTCAGGATTCCACTCGCCTCGGGGCTCAGTCGTGTTTATGTCCGCTGCCATGTTTGTGAGCTGTTAAGATGACGCCAGATCCGGTTGGCGACGCTTCCGAGTCTGCTCGCTCTCATTGGCTTTGGCAGGTATTCTGTCAGAGGCCGTTCTACCTGGAAGCATATGATTCTAGATTCCAGATCGGGGAGCCTCAGCGCCAAACACTCGCTTGTGACGAGCCTTGAGTCGAGCCATTATGGATTAGCGTGTAGCATAGCCAGCTTCTGATGATAGAGAAGTTCATAAATGTGTCTTATAACTTAAAAACTTCAGCGTGTCATCGACCTTCAGACAACAGGCAATAACTTTATTATCGTGGTGATTAATAATGACGCACGCTGTCATAGTGCTGTCTGGATCCGCTGCAAGTTCCACAATTAATGTTCCAGATGTTCAGTCGCCATGTCGATCTACAGAGAGCTCAGAGATGTACCACCCCGTGTGATTAAACTGGTGTGATTCAAAGCTTTGAAGAGATATCTAACAAAGTGGGTGACCTGCTTGAACAAAGTGAGATGACACGTTGAAACCAGAGGGGGGAACTGAGGCTTTGGAAAAAGAGGGTGAACACAAAGAGAAGTGCTGAAGTTCACCTCAATACATGACATCAAGAGAATGAAAAGGAGGATTAACAGAATATCAGTCAGCACGGCACCTCCTGCCTCTCTTTATGGCAAGGGATTTTCTGCCCTGTCAGCGCCAACCTCGAAGACCGAACTCTGTCTCTCATCACTTGAAACTTAAGATGTGACTTTTTATTTGTGCACACAGACTTATTTCTATAGCACAACTTTAAAACCATTGTTTTTCTAAAGGTGCGTCATAAAAAGAGAAATGAAAGGTCCAATTACTGAGATGTGTAGTGAGTGAAATGATAAAGTGACCTTACTGTATGATCAGACATTAAGGAAACATGCTATGTTGAAGTGCTGGCTTCTCTGACAACAATGCAGCAGCCAGTATGTCTTCCTTCTAACTTTAGATTCTGGTCCTGAATGCTCTGGATTTGTTTGGACCAGAGAAGGTAGGTGGTTTTAAGGCACCACCACACGGACGTTTCAGTTTGCCAGACGTGAGACCAGTTATCAGGTCAAACCATCAGGTGTTGCAGTGATGGAAGTGGGCAAGAGAAGTGGTTCAGATAGAAGTGATTGTACCCGACCTAAAAAGCCTCTGCATGTTTCTAATAAGCTCCACGAGCAGAAACGTGCTCAAACTAGGATCAATATTGGAGATGCTTTTGAAAAATGGAGAGAGGTTAGAACACAGAAAGGTTTACAGACTGATGCAGAGCTGGCTAAACACTGAAGCTTCAGTGTCCACCACATGGCAACCTGCGTGAGCATCGACTCTAGAGAGGAGGGGGCGGGGGGAGACAGCTCTTTACTATGTTTAGAATCTGGACTGCAGTACCCATCTTAAACACTAGGTGTCAGAGTTACATATTGCTCCTTCACACTATTTAGGTCATCTTCCGGCACTAGCAAACATTTAGTTTTTTATGACATAAATTTTGACCTCTTCTTTTCTCCTTCCATAGTGGACTCGGCTGGACTCGTTGCAAACATGACTGTAAGTATGCAATGACACATAAACACGTTTATTAAAGCAGATATGGGACAGCTATCATTTATTAGATGAGATGATTTTGAATGAAAGTTAAAACTGACTAATTGTGTGTGTGTGTGTGTGTGTGTCTCAGTGTAAGAAGCCAGATCAAAAGATCAAACCGTACCTTAAGGCCGACCTCCCAAAGCGGCTCCACTTCGCTAACAGCCGGCGCATCGAAGACGTGAACGTCCTGGTGGAACCGAAGTGGCTGTTTGAGAGGTTGGTCCTCTTCTTCCTTCAGTTTGTCAAACTTTGTCTCTTAATGACGTAAAGGTTTTCACACCTCAATGGTTCTTACATCTTCTTAGTCCGGTTTAGATGTTGAAGTTTGACCTCCTGTTCTCCCGTTTTATTCATCGACCACTGAGGCCTAGTCCACATGTAGGTGGCCATTTTTAAAAACAGAGGTTTTCCAGCTCCGTCCACACACACTCAGTTCTCAACAACAACATCCACATGAAAACACAAAACGCCTTGTTAACAACAACCGCCTCGCCATTCCTCTGAAATGACCATTTCAATTTTAAAGTTGTCCCACCAACCCAAAGTCCAACCCGTTCTCTTCCTTAACCGCTAACGTTGGCGGTGGGGTTTGTGTGGTCAGAGTGTTGTATGAAACAGCAGTGACCTCCGTCGTCCAATTAGGCGTCTCTGCTCGTCAACATAGTGGGAGAGTAACTGTGTGTATGTGTGAGCATGTAAAAAGTCCAGTTAGCATCGTTTGCACCAGCACTAGTTTGGTTACGTCTGCCATCGCACTAATCTCAGGTAAACAAAAAGGACAGCGTCGCACGGTGACGTCACACGGAGGAGAAACCGGCGCACAGTGTGACGTTACAAGAACAGAACTCTGTTTTCCCTCGTCTACACAGAAACACCTTAAACTGGTTGTCGTCTGTGTCTGAAGCTGCCCGCTACATCCAGAATTTGGAACAGAGCTGCTCTACTCCGCCATGATTAACATGCAAGAGACTAGAGAAATAAACGGACATCTGTTAGTAAATAATTGGACATTTGAGCTGTCCTTTTCTCTTTTTCCACGATCTACTCTGGTTTATACGCCATTCAATATAGCTGGCTGCACATGTTCGGTTTCCTGCCACACATTTTATCTTGATCAACACTTGTCAGAGTAAAGTGCATGGGTAGCTAATTAATACAAATGACCAGCTAATGTAGTCCTGAACTACGTTTTTCTGGTGTTATAATCGAAGTAAACAGGTAATGTTCTGGTTCAAATTTAGGTTAACCTGTGCTTTATTGATGTTGCTTACTTAGCTTATTCAGGCGTTTATTCAATGGTATTCTGATGTTATAGGGTTAACTGTCTAATGCATTAGTGGGAAATAGTTAAGTTAGGAAGTACTTTTTTGGAATGGTTGTTTTAGGACCTGGTGAGGTCTCTGACATTCGGTGTTCAGAGTTATATGTGGGGACAGGTGTGGGAAAGGGGTTTGTGGGAGGTCATTTTTTGTTTGTTTTATTTTCGTTTTCTCGTCTCTGCTTCTCAGATATTTTTTACTTTTGCATTTATTTTTGTTTTCTTTCTAAGCTACTCATCTCAGTCACTCGTTCTAAATTGGCCCTAAATGAAGGGTAATCTCAATTTCATTAGCTGGAACGTTAAGGGGTTAAACCATCCAGTGAAGAGGTCCAAAGTCTTTACTCACCTAAAACAGCTCAGAGCTGGGGTAGTGTTTCTCCGAGAAACTCACTTACATGATTCTGACCAGTGGCGTTTGGGGAGGGGCTGGACCGGGCAGTTTTTCCACTCAAACTTTAAGGGGAAGGCAAGGGGCGCGGCTATCCTTATTGATAAAAATATTCCTTTTGAGCCAACAAATATTATATCAGACAAAAACAGACGCTTCATTATTGTCTCAGGCAAACTCTGTAATAAGTCAGTGGCACTGGCTAATGTGTATGCTCCAAATATTGATGATGTACAATTCTTTAAAAACTTTTTTTCCCAACTCCCTGATCTAAATACTCATTCGTTAATTCTTGGAGGGGATTTTAATTGTTTCCTGGATGCAGTGCTAGACCATTCCTCTCCAAAGCTCACTGCGCTTAGTAAATCTGCCAGTTGTATTAAATATTTTCTTTCTGACTTTAGCCTTTCTGACCCCTGGCGGTTTTTGTACCCCACTGGAAGAGAATATTCTTTCTTTTCCCACGTTCACCATACTTACACCCAGATTGATTATTTTTTCCTAGATAATTCTTTAATTTCAAATCTCAAATCCTGTAGCTATGAGAGCATTATTATTTCTGATCATGCACCCATTGTTCTTACCCTGGCCTTCTAAGACTTTGATATAGCAAGGAAGCACTGGAGGCTGGACCCGCTGCTACTTACGGATGAGAGTTTTTTGACATACATATCCAACCACATCAAAATATTTCTAAGCACCAATAAAACACTGGGAATGTCCAATAAGACAATTTGGGAGGCCATGAAAGTGTATTTGAGAGGCGTGATTATATCATTTGCAGCATATAAAAGAAAGTGCTAAAAACAAAAACAAACTGAAATTGCTAGTCAGATTTTGGAAATTGATAAACAGTATGCGAATTCACCCCCACCTGAACTGTATAAGAAACGTTTAAAACTCCAGACTGAATTTAATGTTCTTACACCTCATCTGGTTGAGAGCCAATTACATCGGAACAGAAGAAACTTTTATGAGCATGGTGAGAAATCAGGCAAATTGTTAACCAATCAACTGCGGGGTCTGAGGGCGAAGCAGCTTATTGCCGGGGTACGGACAAAAAATGGGTGTGTAACATCTGATCAGAAAGCAATTAATGAAACGTTTACTCCAGTTTATATAATTCAGATTGTACAGCAGATAAAGATATCATGGATAACTTCTTTAGTAATTTGGATGCATCATCCATTTCTCAAGAAGTGTGGAACAATCTAGAAGCACCTATCACCCAAGGCGAAATCACTGCTGCAATATTATTCATGCAATCGGGCAAATCTCCTGGCCCTGACGGTTTCCCATCAGATTTTTTCAAGAAGTTTTCTGCTGAGCTTACTCCTTTTTTGTGTTTAGTGTTTTCTGACTCACTTGACTCAGGCAAACTCACTCCTTAATTTAACCAGGCCTGCATCTCTCTTTTGTTGAAAAAAAGATAAGGACCCGCTAGATTGTGCCTCCTACAGGCCCATATCATTGTTAAATACGGACATGAAGATCCTTGCTAAAGCTCTGGCTCGCAGGTTAGAGGATGTCCTCCCCTCCGTCATATCCCCTGACCAAACTGGGTTTATAAAGAATCGGCAATTGTTTTTTAATATTCGTCGGCTATTCAACATTTTGTATTCCCCCAAACATGGTGAGTCTGAATGTCTTCTCTCTGTCGATGCTGAAAAAGCATTCGACCAAGTAGAATGGGACTATCTCTTTATGACACTTAAAAAATTTGGTTTCGGCTCTGTTTTTTGTTCTTGGATTAAACTACTTTCCCTCTGCCTCTGTATTAACTAACAACCATTACTCAAAATATTTTGTCCTACACAGGGGGGACACGGCAGGGTTTCCCTCTTAGCCCGCTCCTTTTTGCTATTGCCATAGAGCCGCTTGCGATAGTTCATAACAATAGGAAAATACAGGGGATATATAGGGGAGGAGTCGAGCACAAGGTCTCTCTTTATGCAGATGATTTACTAATTTATGTCTCGGAACCAGCGTCGTCCTTACCGGAAGCCCTCGCCTTATTTGAAGTTTTTAGTCAGTTTTCAGGATATAAAATTAATTTTAATAAACGCGAACTCTTTCCAATTAGCAAAGAAGCCCTGAGACTTAACCTTACCAACCTTCCATTTAAGGTGGTGACAGACCATTTCTACTATCTTGGAATTTGTGTCACAAAACAATTGAGACATCTGTTTAAACATAATTTCCTATGTTTATTTGACCAAGCTAAACAGATTTTGTCCAAATGGTCCCCTTTATCCCTGTCTCTCATTGGTAGAATAAATTCAATTAAAATGACGCTTCTTCCAAAATTTTTGTATCTTTTCCAATGCCTCCCGATTCTTGTCCCAAAGACTTTTTTCAAATCTCTGGATTCTTTAATCACGTCCTACATCTGGAACGGCAAGCGCACTCGATTACGTAACAACAACCAAAGCAGACTGGTGGAATGGCTCTGGCTAATTTCCAGTATTATTACTGGGCAGCTAATATTCACTGTATGATGTATTGGGTACACTTTCATCTGGAACCGTCATGTCCTGTCTGGGTAATGATGGAGGTCTATGCTAGTGCTCCAATATCCTTGCCCGCCCTTTTGGGTGCTGCACTTCCACTAGCCTCTGATTTTCCTAAAAGTAATCCCTTAGTAAAACAGTCTCTTCACATCTGGACCCAAAAACATTTCGGTCTGCAGACCTTTTCATTGCAAAGCCTGATTGCAGCTAATCACCTCTTTGTCCCTTCGACTTCTGATGGTGTATTCAAGATTTGGCACAATAAAGGCTTGAGATGTTTTGATGATCTGTTCTTATGAGATAAGATAATCAGTTTGCATGCTTCCCTCAACTAAGTGATGCCTTTGGTATCCCTAGAACGCATTTTTTTTTACAGATTAGGCATTATGTACAGGGTTTAATTCCACGGTTCCCTTCTAAACCACCTGTCAATCCGATTGATACATTTCTCTCTGTCAAACCAATGTCAAAAGGGATAATGTCTAACCTATACAAACTTATTTCTAAGTTACATTGTCCCTCTATGGCTGCTATCAAAACAGCTTGGTAACAGGACCTAGGCTTTACTTTTTCAGACTTTTTTTTTTGGGGGGGGGTTAGTTTGGGGTGTGTTACTGCATCCTATATACCAACATAACTCTTAAATGCAACTTGGCTTCCTTTAGAGTTCGCAGGAAGGACTGCCCTTATCTGTACAGATGTGTTTATTGTTGACCTTGACCTTTTATTATTCAGAACGTGACTTCTGGGTACAGCTGTGGTTGTTTGTCATCTGGATTAGGCTTGTCTCATGGTTGGATGTTTTGCGACATGTATGAGTGTTTCTGTTAAGGGTGGGTGGGGGGAAGAAAAGAAAAATATTTTCCTGTACAGTAAAAGCTATTTTCTGTTATTATCTTTCAATAAAAAGACCTTTGAAAGAAACACCATTTTGGTTTGTCTTGACCACAATATTAAATTTTGCTCTACAAGGGCCTGGGGTCCACATACAAGGACTTTATACTGCCACTTAGTGGTGGCAGAAGAGTATAACACATTATACATTAGATTCAAGATGGCCGACAACACACCCAGAAGTTCATATGGCAACTCCCGATCCAAACTTCGACCAGGTAAAAAATTAAATCAAATTTCATGGCTGATTCTTGTTCAGATATGTATAAAAGTGTTCAATGTTTGTTATGGAATAAAAATTTTACAAAGGTTAGTAACTGTAACGATTTACCATGCCGCTAAACATGATGTCCACGTATGTGGACAGAGGGACTGAGTTTTGTTAGTTTTGTTGAAAATGTTTATATGTGATCATAAATGCTAGCAACAAAACGTGAGAATGAAATAGTATTTTGGGATGATTTTGGTAGAAAACAATAGTTTACTACAATACAAGCAGATGTAGCATGTTTTATAAATAAATCTACATAGATTTTTATTTGATTTTTCTCATGACGTTTTTTTCCAGAGCATTATTCTCTGTCAAGAGTAATGGAGTTATTGGGGTTAATTGGTGGAGACAACTCAGAGGTGGAAGATTTGTCAGACATCGATGATCCCGTAGGGGATGCTGAATATCAACCCCCACGACAGGAGCCAGATGCAGATTGCAGATTGCTCTAATGCTACGTCACTGGCTAGAAGTGGAGACCCACTCATCAACACATCAACTAATGAAATTTATCATTTTTTTGGTGCCTGTATTTTGATGTCTTGCGTACCATATCCTGCAATCAGGATGTACTGGTCCAAAGCCTTGAGATTCCCTGCCATCACTGAAAAGTTCACACGTGACAGATTCTTCAGGCTGAGGCGATCACTCAAAGTGTTCATTGATGATGATGTTCCAGAGGATCTGAGAGATTGTGATAAATTCTGGAAGGTGAGGCCTTTTCTGAATCGCATTCTAAAAGGCTGCAAATCTCAGGCTCGACCAGAATGCGTTTCCATTGATGAGCAGATGATTCCTTTCACAGGAGCTTGTCCGTATCGACAATATCTGCCAATGAAACCAAACCCAGTTGGCATGAAAAACTTTGTTTGCGCAACAGCAGATGGTATTGTGCTGGACTTTGACATTTATCAAGGTAGAGATGCACTCCTTGAGCAGGTTGAAGAAATATTGAGATATTGAAATGAACAGTCTAGAACAGTTACAATGCAAAATGTTTAGGATGTTGCTTTGTTACAGACATACGTCTTCCTGCAACTGTTAGCAGCACATCAAATGAGCCATATTGCTCAAAGGGGCACAATTGTTGTTTCTCATTTTGTTTTTGCACTCATGAAAAATGCTGCTGTGTTCAGGCACCAAATAAAGAGTTGTGCATATCATTACTCAATTGTGACTTTATTGTGTTCTATCGAAATTTAAAACGAATGTCCTCATATGTGGACATCATTTTTCTCAGAAACTACATCATGTAAAAAGATAATTCTTTGTTTTTACACTCATCAGGTCCCAATCAGCCCAATCAGCAAAGAGAAATTAAAAATGCATGCCATGCAAGAGTTCGGGTCTTAGGAGGTTAAACAGAGTTTCTGAACATCTTCACCCTGGAAGGATTTTTACTGAAGAAGAGTTTTCAATTACCTAAAACGCCGTTTGTGTACGAAAGGTCAAAACGTTCAGAAAAAGATACGTGTTCAAAAATATCCGCCTACATGGTGACTAGGCGTCAGTCCTTTAAAAAGTGCATGCTCAGCAGTAAATCTTTGTGCTTTAACAAATCTTCCTGTCTTTTCTCCACAGATATCCAGGCTCTGTGACCTTCTGCTCTGGTGGCGCTCACGGCTACGACAACGATGCTGAGAGCATGCAGGTGAGAACAGAGGATCCTTTAGTTTAGCAGTAACGTCTCTGACAGTTCTCCACTGCTGCCAAGCATTTTGCTTTGTTTCAGTGAGGTTTTAAACTTTATGGGTAAATTAAATCGTCTGAACGTCTCTCCGCCCTTCTTCCTGCAGGCCATGTTTGTCAGCCATGGACCAAAGTTTCACTCTAAAACAGAAATCGAGCCATTTTCCAACATCGAGCTTTACAACCTGATGTGTGGTGAGTCGCCGGATGTTTCTATACACTAACAGAAAGTTTCCAGACTGTTAAGAATTGTTCTGGCTGACAGTCCAATCAGAGCACGGGACATTCTGTACTGATTTAATCTCAAAGTCGTCCTGCAGAGATCTGAGGCTGCTGAACACACCATCATGAACAGTTTGTCTCCGTTCTTTATCGTCCTTGTTTAATCAGCAGGAAATCAGTGTGAACAGGCTGCAGACACCGCAATGATGGAGAGGACTATATGATTGTGGAAGTTTGAGGAGTGTTACTCAGGCATAGATCAGGTGCAATAAGATGAGGAAAAGCACAGCCACTGAGCCTGATCACTCTAATTCATAATATTCTGAACCAACCCAAGCTCTCTGCTAATACTGTAAACCTGAAACACAGCTGTGTTTACTTCAGTACAGCTGCACTCTGGTTGCATATAGATGTACATGTAGCTGCTTCGTGTTTCCATGTTTGTGTTACTTTCCTCTCTTCTTGTGTCTTTACATTCAGAGGACTCTTGGTCCTCTGAATGTAAAGAGGGGTGGTTGGAGGATGGAGAGGGCTGGTTTCATATTAGAGACCCGGGCCCGGATCCGAGTACGCTTGACCCCAGAGTCCAGTTCATTTGATCAGTATGAACACAAACGTACCGTACTCGGGTACTGTGCCAGAGTCTGCTTGAAGAGTTGGTCATGTGTACTCGAGTTTGGTCCATGGGCGATGTGAACGCAACCGTGCTCAAACAAGGAAGTGGACCACTATATGATGGGATTCTAAACGGGTCCTGTCGCTTCAAAAAAACGTTGTATCCGTGCAGCACGGGCTGTTTCATTCTCTGAGCTGAACGGTATCTGTGGACGCAGGAAGAGTCTTGTTGTTGGTGTCTCAGAAATGACAAAAACATCCACAGCTGGCAGGATGGACTCAGGCCATGAGTGGTTGCCACGGTTATGTCTACTTCATTCTGCTTCTTGGAAGCAAACTAGTTGCATACCGCCCCCTGCTGTATCGGACTGTGTACAAACACAAGTGTGTGGGTGGTAATCAGAACTTCACTTTCTTTTTCTTTCTTGCAGACCTGCTGCAGATCTCGCCCGTTGAAAACAACGGGACCCACGGAAGTATGAACCACATCCTGAGGCAGCCTTACTTCACACCAGCGCCCCCTACAGAAAAGAGCGGGCCGGCTCAGTGTCTGTTGGTTAGCCTCCATCCTGCAGACGACCTGGGGTGCTCCTGTCCTGCCCTGGTGAGTATTTTTTAACTCGTACTTAGTTAGTAACAGAAAAACGCCCATCGTCCTCCATGTTTGTTTTTTCTGTTTCTGTTGATAGCATGTTTTTCTCATCTTTCTTCAGAATGGAAGTTCGATCAACAGTCGTCTGAATCTGACAGCAGAGGAAGGTGAGGAGCTGTCGTTCAATTTCACAGCTGAACGCACTCTACGCACACGCTGATTTGTATAGCGAACACTCCACTGATAGGACAACAGTTCATGGTCCGAAGATCTAACAATGTCCCCACAGCATTTGTTTGTCATGAGTTAAGATGCCTTTGAATCTGATCCACTTCTGTGTCTCAGTGTTGGCAGCAGAGAAGAAGCACACGCCGTTTGGCCGTCCTCGGCTGCTGCAGCCTGAGCAGAGTTACTGCGTCCTCCACCACGAAGGATTCATCAGCGCCTACAGCCACAAAACGCTGATGCCTCTGTGGAGCTCCTTCACCATCGACAAGCCGGTACAGAGCGGAATCAATCAAGTATTGGGGTAGCTGGTTGTCATGGTAACAGGCTTTAATGTCTTGGTATATTTGGTAAGATTTTGTGAAATGTTTGAACTGAGACCTTGCCTTCTGGAACCAGAGCCGCTGAAAAGTGGGTGGTCACTGTTAAACCATCCAGATGTTCTTCCTCATCCTGTAGGCCTTATGTCATTGGAGGGGAGCCAAGTGAAGGACAGAGCTTCCACGGCTCTCTGACGCCGTGTGGGACCTCGTTGGTTTTGAATGTTCAGGTTTCTTTTTTTCAGAAGACAGCCTAAGTCAAAGAGGAACATATCCTGTGTATTCTGTGCCCACTATCGGACATCCAGTATTTGTTTTAAAGGGTTTAAGTTGACAATAGCTCCTTTTCCTCCTGTACAGAGTCAGATGATAAAGACTTCAGTCTGCAGAATCACATTACTGAAACACAAATTTCCATCATCCTCTGGTCCCTTTAACTCTCCTATGAAAATGTGTTCTTTTTGTTCTATGGTTATTCATTTTTATAGCTTTGCCTAATAATGCAGTATATGGCTATGTTGAAGGAGGGAATAATGAACAGGCAGGTAATGACTTTATTTGACCATTTGGCTTTTCCACATCTGAATCGGTGCAACTGTTCCCCTGAAAACAGATCACAAGCTGGCTTCCGTTAATGCGAAGAGCTCGGGACGTCACGGCATAAATTACTTTCACAGGAAAACATTTTTGTGTTATCATCAGGAGCTGATTTCTTCTGATGAAATTCATAACCCAGACTTTTTTTTCCCTTCTCGTAGACAAACTTGGAACCATTGCCCCCGGTGACGTCAGACTGTTTGAGGGCTGATGTGAGGATCACAGCGTCCCAGAGTCCCAGCTGTCTTCAGTATGATGCAGCGGTAAACGTGACCCATGCCTTCCTGTACCCACCCGGTCAGTACGCACAGACACTCACATCCTCTCTCTTCTCAAACGCTACATGAATCCTCTCTTCTGCTGAATCTCTGCCGTCCATTCTCCTCCTCTAACCAATCTGAGCTCATCTGTCTTTAAGTAAATATGTGAAAGTGTCACTTCCTCCCTCCGTGTTTCTAACATGCCTATTCTTACAGATAATCAGCCCTGTTTAACTTGGTGGTTAACTGGTTAATTACTGTTCAGAAGGACACGCTCACTCACATGTCCTACATGTTCCTGGAGTCAGGGAGGACGCAGAAGGGCCAAAAGAAAAAGAAAAAAACCCAGAGTCCAGAGTCTCCTTGATGTTTACCAACAGTACCAGCTGCAACAGAAGTTATTTATTTTGCAAGAAAATATTTTCCACGACACGTGTGCTTCACACTTTTATGCATCTCGCTTTCAAGTGAGGCGTCTGCTTTGATTCCTTTTCTATTTCTCCAAAATCAAACCGACTTTCTTGACTGGATGCAATCTTCATTTTTACGATGTAAGCCGAAAGTAGTTCGATCAGAGGAGACTTCATTAAGAGGAAACAATTGTTTATTTAAAGGTGGAGTCAGGAGAAATGTTTGTAAACATTCAAACTAAGCCCCTCCTCCTGGGCTGATCGCCCCCAGAATCCCCTCCCACTCACTGCAGGACATAGTGTGTACATTTACCGCTAAGTCACGTTTACTGCTAAGTCACGTTTACTGCTAAGTCACGTCTCCTGTTGTGTTTCTGCAGTCCTGAACGCCACAGCGGACGAGCAGTTTGATGCTCTGCTGATGAGTAACGTGGTCCCGATGTACCCCGAGTTTAAGAGTAAGTGGCGTGCTCATACGGCGTCCCGCACACGTTCCCTCCTTTCACCTGCTGCTTGTTTTCTCTTCTTCCAGAGATCTGGGACTTCTTTCACAGCGCTCTGCTAAAGAAATACGCCTCTCTCTACAACGGCCTCAACGTGGTGACCGGTCCTGTTTTTGATTTCAACTATGACGGACAGTTCGACGCTCCAGAACAGATTCAGAAGTGAGTCTTTGTCAAACTTCTCGCTCCTTTTCTTGACACCAGGTGTTTTAAAACGTCACGGTCTCTGTGACTTTAATGATTGATCGTGATAAAAAGACTTCCACAACCATAACAACGATGAAGCCTCGCTGAACTACGCTGATGCTCCTCAGGTTGATCAGAATCAGCTGGACAGTCCAGGTTTGTTTGAACTTTAAATGACCTTTCCTGATGTGTTTTTTTTCCTCCAGTTTCGTGTCTGGTACCAACATCTCCATTCCCACGCATTACTTCACAGTGTTGACCAGCTGCAAAGACTTGGCCGTGCCCGTGTCCGCCTGCGTTGGCGAGCTGCAGACTGTATCCTTCATGCTTCCTCACAGATCTGATAACTCAGAAAGCTGTAAGGTGAGAGCTAAGCGACCTGGGCTTCCCCTTTGAATGACGTACTTCTTTTAAAGTTTAACAATCCTCCTAATGACTGCCTTGCAGACTATGACGTGAACATGGAAACCCTTTGTGAGACATTCAATGTCCTTCAGGCCAACTGGTTTTAAACAAAGCCTCCTTTTTATTTATGTTTCTGTCAAGTCCTGAGCTCATTCATATTGAATGGAGGAGTAAAGATCAAAGTGATACTAAATCAGAAGCATTGTGACATTTCAAAGAATCCTGAAAGCCAGACACTGGTGACTCTTTAGAAGTCTGAGTAAAGTGGCTTCACTTGCATTTACACTGAAGTCTTTTACTTAAAGTATTAGTAATGGATGTTGAGCTTAAGAGGCCAGAAACCAAAGGTCAGTGGGCGATAAAATCAATTCAGTTTGTTTCCTTAGAAGAAAGTGGAACATAAACTCACTGCAGCATGAAGCGTTTTTAACGCTCCCAGAAGGTTGTAAAAATACTGGAATCATATAAACAAGACGACAGCAGTGAGTGAGGATGCAATATGAAGTGCAAAGAAATGATTTCAGTGGAGAGGAGGGAAGAGAACACGAGTGTCCTGAGTTTATGTGATGGAGATATCTGAGGCCTCGTCCACATGTAGGCGGGTAGAAAGCGTGTTTTGACCTTTCGTATGGAAACAGTGTTTGAGGTCACTGAAGTAAAACTCCGTCCAGGATGAAGGGAAACAATACCACAAACTGATGTTAAGGCTGGCGGGGAATCATGGGAGTTCTCTCTGCTAGTCCCCCGCCCAATCCTGATGAAAATGACCCATGTGTTGACCGTAGTCACGACGACTGGGTGAAACCGACCTGAGGAAGAGAATATGACAGACGAGCTAATGTATCAGAGTATAATCTACATGAGGTTTTTGTCACAGCAGCACATACAACAACAGTATGGCAGCTTTCAGTATTAGCTCACGCTTCCTGATGCAACAGGCTTTGACGTAACATCCGGTGTTTACACAGCAACGTCACGCTGTGCACCAGTTTCTCCTCCGTGTGACGTCATTGTGCGACCCTGTCCCTTTTGTTGACATAAGATTAGTGCTATGGCAGACGTAACCAAACTAGGGCTGGTGCTAATGTTGCTAATTAAACTTTTTACAAGCTCACACACACACACACACACACACACACACACACACACACACACACAGTTACTCTCCCACTATGTTGATGAGCAGAGACGCCTGATTAGACGATGGAGGTCACTGCTGCTTCATACAACACTGACCACACAAACCTCACCACCAACATCAGCAGTTTTAGACGAGACCCTGTTGGACTTTGGACGTGTTGCATGTGTAGGACATCGCTGTTGATTTAGTGTGCTCATGACAGCCGTAGCAGTGCATTTTGCATTTTTGCGTGGACAGGATAAATGAATACCCGCCAACGTGTGGACTAGGCCTCAGTAACATTTAAAAACTCTGTGTAGGAATAGAGTCTTATGTGCATCGCTTGATAATAAAAAAGTTGAGGCGCCAACGCGATCCACGAACATATCTCTTTTTATCTTGCATGGACAGAGTGCGGAGGCAGAGTCTGCTTGGGTTGAAGATCTCATGTGGTTCCATCAATCACGAGTCAGAGACGTCGAGTGGATCACCGGATTAGACTTCTATCAGAACAGCAGTCGACCAATCGCAGAGCTGCTGAGGATGAAGACCCGCCCCACAGCTGCCATTCAAAGGAAACAATGAAACCGTAACGGACTCCGATCTGCACTGACTTTATTTATTGACTTTCTAATTGACAGTTAATTTTCACCTTGTGTTTTTGAATCATGTCTCATGAACAGTTTCCTGTTAGCGTCTTATTTTGAATCTGTACATAAAGATCATTGTTCCACAGCGAGCCTGACGAGACCAGGTGATGTATACAGGTGTAAGCCTTTGTGACGCTGGAGGTCAATATCTCTGACTGTGAACTGTGACTGTGAACAGTTTTTAATGATCATGTTTGGATAAATATCTGATTTATATTTTATAGGCTGTATATTTTACACAAATAAATTGAGTTTCTTCTTTTAAGAAATGTCTCTGAATACTTTCAAAGTATACTTAGCATAGCTCTATTGAGCACAAGTAGGGGTCATGAAGCACTTTACTATTAATACCTATTTAAAAGATGGCTGCTTGGGGCGCCAACGGTTAATGCGCACCGACACTCAACTACACCAACAAGAACCCTACACCAACGCCCAACTACACCTAGAAGAACCCTACACCTACAAGAACCCTGCACCTACACTCAACATCACCTACAAGAACCCTGCACCAACACTCAACTACACCTACAAGAACCCTGCACCAACACTCAACTACACCCAAAAGAACCTTGCACCTACACTCAACATCACCTACAAGAACCCTGCACCAACACTCAACTACACCTACAAGAACCCTGCACCAACACTCAACTACACCTACAAGAACCCTGCACCTACACTCAACATCACCTACCAGAACCCTGCACCAACACTCAACTACACCTACAACACCTTTTTTAGCAAAAAAAGGGTATGTGTCCAAAAACACGTACTGAGTAGGAGTTACATGACAGGCTAAATCGTTTACATGTCTGGTTCACCCCAAACAAAGATAAAACCTTACAGTAATCTCACAAAATCATGTATTCCATAAATTTGTAATCATGTCAGTGCAATTTAGACAAGTCCAGTGGATTCATAGACCCAGAAAACATGGGGTTAGACACCAAGATTACTTGGCTAGGTCAAATAATGAAGGAGTTAAGATATTTTAAGGGCTTCCTGCCCATCTTGGACGCCATCTTGAAAATTACACCTTTCTAGTGGTCAAATTTTGGTAAACTTTTAGTATGTTATTAAGGACACCTAATGCTACAAAAAAACAGCTGAGAAACCTTTTGTTAGAATTTTTTTAGTGTTAGGTGTTTTTTTTTCATATATATGCAGCCGCCTATGGAGTGAATGCCTACGTAGGAGTGAATGCCTACATCACCAAACCTATAAAAGCCTTGTCACCCAACTCGGCGAACTATGGGGAGTCAAGTGTAGTGGATTGAGACTGAGACTGAGAGAACTGCACGATTAATGTGTGTGGGGCAAACATTGTATCATATTGCAGCCGATAACGGCGCGAAGGAGTGATTGGGCGTGTCTTACCCCCCTGCCCCCCTCCCTCTCCAAGTTGATACATTGACATTCTAAATGCATTTTTTTAAATTAGAGCAGTTCAACTGAAAACATGGGGTTTAGTTACCCTTTAATGAGTGTTAATATTTAAACGCATCACTGCAGATGGTCTGCATCTCGTGTCCCCGCGGACAAAACGCTTCCTCATAGAGATTATCCAAGACAAGGTTTTCACAAACGGAAGCTATTTTTCTGCTTGATTACCAACATTCAGTCCGACTTCTTCGACTGATTTAACCCTCGAAGTTTAATTATACAAAGGTTCACCTAAGAACAGTTCAGAATTCATGTACAAAATGTGTTCCTTATCCGCTTGGTGTTTCTCCTCACTGTGATTATATTTTCTCTTCTTTGCTGTTACGTCCACGCCTGTCATATTCACCGGTTTTAATGGCATCCAATCCAAAAAAGAGGAGCATTTTTCATCAGGAACCAAACCATGCTCCCTGAACGTCACCTTAAATCCCTTCAAGCACCAACTTTTAAACTGAACTCACCGTAGTTCCTTCAACATTTTAGGTTTGCGTCATTTAAAATTCATCGCCTGCTCGCGGGGAAGTTTCCTTAATATTTCCTTTTGTGTTCTCACATCAGCACCAGAAGACTGAAGTGTTAAAACCTGCAGTTCATTGAGTGTCCACTAGAGGCTGGCTGCAGAAGCACAGGAAGTCACATACACACCCATTCAAAAAAGCCTGTTTTTACAGCAGAGATTAACATGTTTACAGCCTGGTTAAAAAAACAAATAGGTCTGATTAGCTCATGTGTAACGGTTTGTCAGGAGGCTTAAAACACTAACCCTTACCCCCACCCATCCATCACAGTCTGTGGCTCAAACCGACAACTCTTTGGGAAATATCCAGGAGAGCAGAGCATATGTGAAAGGGGCTGTGAGTTGAAGCTAATGTGCCCTCATATGTTTTCATTATCAATCACACTCTATGTTGTGGTCATAATACTGAACAATGTTGTTGCACGTCGCAGATACTTCTCACATCCTGTAGGCCTGGCGACTGGTCAGTCTTCTTGTATTTGAATCATTCTCTTAATATTGGCTTATCTCATGCTGGTCTCAGTGAGCTGCTCTGTACTCTTCCTGCTTCACCTTCTATGCCCAAAATTGGTTGGTCTGACTCCTCCTGAGGGTGAGTGGACAGCATTCCCCTTGTTCGACCGCCTAAAAGGAAATCTGCCCGCTCTGAAAAGCAGCGCCAGGTAATAAGACTGAGTCACTGGATGACAAAAACATCTTACCCTCACTGTGAATAAGACCCTGAGATACTCATTCATGGGCAATGATTCACTCCCCATTTTCCCATAAGTGTTATAATTCACTTTCAGTCTCTGTGTGGTGTTGACACGGTTCAGTGTGCTCAGAGTGAAAGTCTGACCAAACACCCACGTTTATGTTCTTTGGTAGCAACACAAACTCATTGAGCTTCAAAATAAAGCTAAAATCAGAGAGTAAACATTGCTGTTGCCTTGGCTACGGAGAGTAATGAGGTGTGCAATCTTCCTGCTTCAGTGCAAGTCTATGTCGTTCCCAGTGCAAAAGTTTTAAGCCTCCTGACAAACCGTTACCCCGCGCCCGCCTGTCAATCAGGTCAGCGACACGCCTTATTGTGAATAACTCTTATCCTTCATCAAATCAAAACGGATGAGTCATCAAAACATTCACCCCCCGTACAGTGTATGCCGATCAAGACATGCGCTAATCAGACCTATTGTAAACCAGGCTGTAAACATGTTAATCTCTGCTGTAAAAACAGGCTTCAAGGTGACGTTCAGGGAGCATGGTTTGGTTCCTGATGAAAAATGCTCCTCTTTTTTGGATTGGATGCCATTACAACCGGTGAATATGACAGGCGTGGACGTAACAGCAAAGAAGAGAAAATATAATCACAGTGAGGAGTAACACCAAGCGGATAAGGAACACATTTTGTACATGAATTCTGAACTGTTCTTAGGTGAACCTTTGTTTAAAAAGAGACCCGGATGAATAAAACAACTGTGGTGTGTGAATGAGCCTTGTGGTCAAATCTCTGACAAGATGACTAATAATTAAACTTAAGAGTTTAGTGGAAAATATATTTTCCCTGAGCTCACTTCAGACAGAACTCCTGCCTTGCACATGGTTTGTTGTGTCTGGTGAATAATATGCTTAATGGGTGTTTCCCACTTATCCAGTCGAGCTTCTAGCAAGTCTCCTACTTTCTTTTCTTCTTTTGAATTCATGGGAAACACACTGCCGTATCCTGTGTGGGAGTCTTTTTACTGGACATTTGCTCATTCATGCAGCTAGTCTAATTGACCTGTGAAAGCAGCAGATTGCTTTGGAAAGCCCAAAACTACACCAGTGTGTAGTGCCTGGGATTACATGCAGCGCTTTATAGTGAAAGAGTCAGTCTCATGTTTCTTCATAATAAAATACAGACTTCTCCCAAATTAAAGCTGCTCCTTCATCCCTTCTGGTCCTCAGTACATGTGTGGTGGTGATTGTGTCTGACCCTGTCCTCTGACTGGATTTTACTGTTCTGGTTTGTTCTGGTTGACTGGGGATGTTTCTGGGCGGGGAGCTGGTGTGTTTCCTCCAGCCAATGACAGCGCAGCAGGTGAGTTTAGGATGCTCCCTGTTTTGATTGTCCAAGACCTCTTTTTGTGTTCCCCTACACCTACTCACTGTTTCCTGCATGCGTCTTTAAGAGTTTAGTGGAACAGATATTTTCCCAGAGCTCACTTCAGATAGAGCTCCTGCTTGATGCCTGGTTTGTTGTTTCTGGTGAATAATCATTTTGATTTCATAGGAGTCACAATGAGTTCCCAACGTAGCTTTTATTCACATGAATGTTAGCGTGCCAGACAAACATATTCTGGCCAGCATAACATTAACGTTCTAAGTCCCGTTTGTTCTTACCAAGTCTCATGAGACTGACACAGAGTATGGCAACACTTGAGGGTCACAACAGTATAACAGCACTACTGTCTACAAGAACATTAAACCTTTTTAGCTCTTTCAGGATGAGCTGAAGTGATTGAACCTTTTAGAAGAGAAAGCTATCACAAACACTTTGTCCACCAGATGTCAGCGTTTGATTAAGCGTTGATCCCCGCAAGGGGAAATTCTGTTTTTACACTCTGTAAGTCATGCAACACACACATGCACAAACAGGATCCTATGGACATGCACTAATGGAGAGATGTCAGAGTGACGGAGCTGCACACTGCGGGCACTCCTGAGCTAGTGGTGGGGAGGGGGTTTGGTGCCTTGCTCAAGGGCACCTCGGCAGTGCTCAGGAAGTGATCTGGCACCTCTCCAGCTACCAGACGAAGTTCCAAATTTCAATCATTTTCATGATTAAAATCGCTGAACTCGCATATTTCCGGCGACATGCGAGGTGAGGCAGCGACGAGTTGTGCCTCATCCCAGATTGCGTAATCCCTCACAAACTGGGTCGCCTTTTGCTTTCTTATTGTTTGTACCAATGTAATTTTTGTAGACACTTTTATTATACGTCCTCACTTTCCATACAATAAGTAACATATTTCACGTGTTTATAACATATTTAGTCTTTCTAATTTGACAAAAAAACGTACTGAAAAAGCATGAGGTGAGGCAGCCAGTGCCTCTGCCGAAGGGGAAGGGGGCGTCTGTCAGGTTGCGTGAGGCTCATAAAGCCAAGGGCCAGATTTACTAAAGGTTTGCGTGTCTTAAAATGTGTGCAAACTTGATGTCACCAGCAAAAAAAGTGCTATCTGATCTACTAACGGCGCACAGTGAGGATTGCATCTTTCAAATGAGCAAAACAACACGCATTGACCATTTAGTATGTTTGCCTTAATGAATATGCAATATGGGGCG